TTTACGTTTCCATGGCAACAGGCTGCACCCCCACGCCCCGTGACGTGCAGGGCCCGTACTACCTGCCGGGAGTGAAGCATCAGCATGTGGTGTGCCGCGGAGGGCCCTATCTACTGGTCACCGGAACGGTCAGCCTATGGTTGTACCAGTACCAACAGTGGTACACATACCTATAGTACCAACAGTGGTACATGTGTACCTATATAGTACATGTATAGTACCATCATGTGGTGTACCATACATACACCTATAGTAACAACAGTGGTAGTGGTACATGTACCTATAGTAACAGCAGTGGTACAGGTACCTATAGTAGCAACAGTGGTACATGGTACCTATAGTAACAACAGTGGTACATGATTGTACCAGTATTAGAAAGTAAAGGTAGTTGTGATAGCGTTTTCAGGCCGTAGGCATAGAAAGATCATCCCATTCATGCTCACTCCTGTCCCCCTCCTTCACCAGGTGAGAGATACCAGGTGTTCCCCGGTTGCTAAGGCAACGCTGGAGGTGTGGCAGGCCGACCCGACCGGATGGTGAGTTCGAACGACCTGTGACAGGGACTTAGAAATTTTGTTCTTGGTTGTTTGCTTGCTTGTTTGTATCTTTGTCGTCTCAAGCATTGTGTTTTCTCTAACTATTCTTCAACACCCCTACCCCATTTTTTATACCCCCCTCCCCAACTCTACCCCCCTTCTCAGCTACAAGATCAACCCGCAGCGGCCGAACTTCTGCCGCGGGAAGGTTCGGACGGACGCCCGGGGTCGGTACAGCTTCCTGACCGTCATGCCGGGGCAGTACGGCTCCGGCTGGTGGCACGCACGGCCCGTACATGTTCACTTCAGGTCGGTACGATTGATTGATAGATTTATAGATTAATAGATAGGTAGATTGATAATTGATTGATAGATTGGGACGTTGGTGAAGGTTAGGCATCCAGGAAATAAAAACAGTTATTCAAGCAACTGGATATGATTTTGGAAACGGTCAGCTTTCAGGTAGCATCCACTACCTTTCGTCGAAGAGTTGTCAGAAAAGCAGGTTTATACACGTACGAACTATTGATAACTATTGGTTGGGTTAGTGCAGAGGCCTCAATAACCACTAACAGTGCCCTGATATAGCATAGACATGGCTCTCTCTCTCACCATCATTTCCATATAAGGCAATAGTGTCCTCAATGTTGCATTACACATTTTGGACCTATCCTTGGTGCTGAATTCACCATCTTTTCCTTATTTATAAGGCAATAGTGTCATCGATGGTGTATTGCATATTTTGTTTGACAACCCCCTTGCTCCAGGATAAGCGCACGGCGCAGGCGGCCCCTGGTTACCCAGCTGTACTTCTCCGGTAACGCCAGCCTGGGCGAGCGCGACCCGTGTAAGTTCAAGTCCAGTTTATTGCACAACAATTGCATTGGCTACAATGTATGGCAAATAACACTTAATAACTTTAAACTATTTCTACTAGTGAACTAATATAACTTCAATACATGTATATGTATATATATATACATGATGTTATAATGGAATATTACATTTCACATTGCTGTGACATGGTTTCTCTTTTGTATAGGGCACAGCCCACTAATTCCAGCCCGTATTGGAATATATAGAAAACATCTAAGAACTGAGCTGTCAACAATCACCTACTTGAGTGTTCAACTATTGCAAACACACACTGACAGGGTAGTCCAAATTCCAAATTGTCCATTTAGTCCAAAAATTTAACTTTTTGACCAGCGGTACTAGCACGGCAAATGCAAACACTGGCAGCATGACCTCTGACCCCCATGAAGACCACCAAAAGACAAGAAGATGGGAGTAGTTTTAGAACTCTACCAAGCAGCCAAAACAACACTAAAACTAGAAAGGCCAATATTTGCTTAGGAGCAAATACAGCGATGGCTTCACCACATTTTACGACATGGTAGGGAAAGAATGAGAAACACAAGGGAAAACAATGATTTACATTGATATAACTATAATATGAAGTAACATACAACTAAAACAACAGTTGGATAGCTATTCCCTACATTATTGGTTAGGATTTTTAATTGCATAATGCAAACTGTTGATTTTCAAAATAAAAAAACGTTCATGCCCCGCATTCCAATGCTGGAGCAGGAAAGCTTGAAATACCTACCAAAACACTTGAATACAGACATACTGTCAGTATGAAAATGCTCTGTGCAGGTGTTAATCAAGTTAAATCCCAACAGCCAATCAGCAAGAAATGCTCTGTGCAGGTGGAAATGCTCTGTGC